TTGGTGGCCCCAACCGTTGAATATCGGTAGTCTATCATGTGGTCTGGCCAGGACGATCGCCAGTTCATAGGGCGTGTCTGGCGCAGTCCTCAGATCAAGCCCGTTATCGTCTACCGTCCCCTCTCGATGGACCTCAACGAGAAGAACATGAGCAACATCGCGTTCAGCAAGGAAGAAATGCACACCCAGTTCTTTATGCCCAAATGTGTTGGTGAGTCGCCGTATGTGCGGTTATGAACAACCACTAACCATATTTCGGCAACACAGCGGACGCGATCCAGCGCGGCATCGAGAAAGCCATCGAGGAAGAGGACGAGGAGGACGAGGTCCCGCAGCTAGGGAAAGGGAAACGCAAGGCCACCAAGACGACCGAGGACACCGACTCGGACAGCGAGGGTAGTCTGCCGCTTTCCCTGCGAGTTGGTCACGCAGCGCAACCATCCGCGGGCAGTGTGCGCGGCGTTTCTGCTCTGGAGTCTGCAGCTACACGGCCCATGCCGTCTGCGCAGCCGTGCACGCCACTGGCGACCGCGCCATCGCAGGTTACATCCTCATCGTCTCTGCACGAAGGCCTGCAACCGGCGACAGCACCGTCGCCTGCCGCGGCACAAGAGGCCCCGTTGCCAGCACACCCATCCAACTCAACGCCACCTGGGTCCCCTGCGCATACATGCCCGCCACCGGCGACCACGCCGCCGGTTGCCGCGCGGTCTAAGGCGACGCAGCCCCTCAGCTCGCTGGCGTTGCCAGAAGATACGCGGTCGCCACTGGCGACCAACATGCATCGCCAGACTTCCGAGCCATCTACGCCTCCCTCCGACGACGACGATGGAGCGCAGCTTGCCGACCACGATGTGGAAATGGGCCCTCCTACCGAGCAAGACGTTGACATGACAGCAATGCCACCCGGCAGTGAGGATACGGGACTTGAGGCTATGCTGCAGTCCATGGGTGAGTATATCCAGTGCCTGATGCTATGCCTTCGTAGACGCTTATAAACTTATGCTGTGACTAGTGCCTTCTGATGTGGGTGCACGCCAGGCGTCCTCCTCTCAGCCTCCTCCCGCAGATGGCATGCGCGACGCCGATCACCTTTCGCAGTTGTCGGACCTCACCGCTCTTCCTGATGAATACGCCGATGATGAGAGAGAGCGGTCTCCACAGCCCCCCCCTGCCAAGAAGCAGCGTCTCGGCCAGGCGATGCCCACCTTAGGGCCTGCTGCTGCGCTTTTTGGCTCTGCGAACGAGCCAGTCCGTCGAAGCGCAAGGCGTGCGCCCGGTTTTGCCCATCTACCCGATGCGAGCGATCTCCATGCGACTGGCATGCCTTCTGGCTCCAAGGGCCGCGGTAAACAGAGGCAGACCGTACAGGCGGATCGGAAAGGAAAGGGCAAGGCAGTCGACTCTGAGTCCACTTGATCGCCGTCGCTTCGCATTAAATTCGGGCCACAGGGGTTCTTTTAGTTGTATTATATTGTCATATTGCACGCATCAATTTGCTCGTCTCTGACTACCGGCACCATGATTTGCTCCTCCGGTTGTGTTTCATTAACGGTGCCAAATTTCTCCTTACGTAGGCACGGATAGTCCGCATAGGGTGCTCAGGCGAGCAGCACCCCCCGCTGGCGGGCCAGACGGTTGATGCGACGAGGCAGTCGCCAGCGGCGACCGCCCCTGAGCCTCTGCCGTTTGTGATTGCTTGTGGCGCCGCCAGTGCGACTTGCCGGTGGCGATCGCAGGGTGATGCTCTCGGATTCATCGGCTCATGCTGAAAATGACTCCCTTGCACCACTCGCCACTGGCGGCCATTCCTGATTTGTTTTGTGATGCTCAGTGATATTCGTTGAATCCATAAGAGGCCGCGGTAGTTGCGTCCAGGGTATATCATCCGGTACGTACGTGATCTGGAGCTTACTGCAAGGGTACAGTAAACCCGCCGGCCAAGGCTGGTATATTACATGCCCAGACTACAAGAGTGACTAACTAACCTCTCATGTGGCGTTGCTTGGTGCCCGCCACTGGCGACCGCAAAAGCCGTAGTGCCCGAATAGTAAACGGCCTCATTACCTCAAAGTCACCCTCTCCAGCGGAATTATAAGACGTTCGTTTATCGCTACTTTGGGTGCCGGGCCTATGTGGTTACGGGGCAGCGTGACGCAC